GCCAGCACTCCCCCGGGGAGCACCGCCCGTTGGAGGCCCAACTGGTGTCCGAGCTCTTGTCCCACACGTTCCGCGCGTGGTAGCTCGCGTACTTGATGACCTCTCGCCGCGGAGAGGGGGAGGAAAGGGGACATGTAGGCACCTGCGACGAGACATCCTGCTGCAAGTCATCCAGTGGCACATCCTTTCGCCGACTCTGACCTTCGAAGGGTGCCCGACAGGGCTCTGCACTGCAGGCCCCTCGGGAGCCGAGACGTGATCGTGGGGGCACTGCACGTGGGCCCGGGCGGCCAGGGCAGAGGAGGGCCGCGAGGGGGCATGGGCGGCAGGCTACTGGCACGACGGCGCGGGGGTTCTGGTTTCGGTCACCGCGCGAGCCGCCCGATGTCGAGCGATCTGCGCAGTCCAGGGGCCGCCGAGAAGCCGATCGGCCACAAGTGGAATGGCCGTGTTCCTTACCGCCCCTGGGGGGGAACCCCATGGTATCGACGTTCACTCTTTCTCTCTCTGTGCCTCTCTCTCTCTCTCTCTCCCTTCCTGGGGCGGAGGGAAGTGAATCATATAGCTCCCCCAGGTGAGGCTGGGCTGCAACGTCTGTGGATGTCTTCAATACTGAAGGCCCGCGCCCGCGCCGCCGCTGCCGCCGCGAGGCGCGGCGAACCTGCGGCGTGCATGCTCTGTGTAGCAGGCCTTCACAACGGACTCCAAACCGACCCCCCTCCTCCAGCCATGAGCAGTCAAGCCTCAAGGATAAGCCCGACCACACGGGACCTCTCCGGCCCGAGCTGCCGAGGGAGCGCGGCTAGAGAGCGTCGCCCCCGCGGACCGCCGAGACCCGACCCCCACGGCGCACGCCACGCCGCACGCGCGGACGAGTTGAGGATGACCTCCGCTGGGGGCACCACGCGCACCACGAAACTCAGACCGTGCCCGCCTCCACGAAAAGGCCGCGGGTGTCCACGCTCTTGAGCGCCCGCGTCAGCGCCGCCGACGCATGCCTATCGTGCGCGCGTGCCGTGGGCAGAAGGCCAGCTCAACGGGGTCTAGAGAGAAAGGGCTCGCCCCGTCCAGGCAAAGGCGTGCATACTCCGAGGCGTCCTGCTCCTCCTTCTCCTTCTGCTTCTCGTCCTCACCTCTTCCCATTCCGCTCCTTCCCCTCCTCCTCCTCCTCCTCCTCCTCCTCCTCCTTCTCCTCCTCCTCCTCCTCCTCCTCCTCCTCCTCCTCCTCCTCCTCCTCCTCCTCCCCCTCTTGCTCCTCCTCCATCACCTCCTCCTTGTCTTCTCCTCTACCTCCTCCTTCTTCTCCTCTCCTCCTCCGTCTCACCTCCTCCTCCTCCTCCTCCTCCTCCTCCTCCTCCTCCTCCTCCTCCTCCTCCTCCTCCTCCTCCTCCTCCTCCTCCTCCTCTCCCCCTCCTCCTCTTTCTGCTTCGTTCTCCCCTCCTCCCTCCGAGCAGACATGGGCAAACTCCGAAGTGAGACGGAGCAGCGTGGTTTGAAACAGAGGAGGGAGGCATACCCGTACCGACGCCCTTCCCATGTCTTCGCCTCCATGGGCATCACCGGCCCCGTCGCCGCGGTTGGATCCGCATGGGAGTTCTGGTCAGCACACGCTGCTGGAGAGGCCTGGGGAGCAGCGGCACCAGTGTCGTGCTGTCCCCCCTACCTATGCTTGATCGGTTCGTCGATGCTCACCTGGCCCTCGGTGGGCTCGCGACTGCCGAGGCAACGCGTTGCAGCCCGCTCTCGGATGCACGTCGCCGCTCGGTCTCGCATGGCATTCTCGCCTCAAGCCTCGACCGAAAACGTGCCTCGAACGCGACTCCTGCCTGCTGCTGGGAGCTGCTACAGATGGCGATCGTAGAAACGCAGCCAACTAGCACTCCCGAGCTCCCCTGAGAGTGGCCAACACAAGAAAATAGCCGCCACGTCTTGTAACCTGCCTTCCCATTCGGGCGATCCGTCAGACACAGGGGACAGGGATGCCTACCCCGCCGAAGACCCTGAAAAAAATGGGCCTCCATTCCAGGCTTCATGGATGCCTGGACTGCGTACCATGCTTTCAACTGCCTGTGCAACCGCATTCTTTTTGATGCTGCGTGCAACTGCTGCAAATCCAACGGATCCCGACAACAGAAGACGCCCGGAAAAGTCAGGTGCGCAACTGGGTCAGACACGCGTACAAGCACTGCCTGGCGCTCACGGTCCTTCCCCCTGAGCTAGCAACATCAGCTCAATGCAATGCTGGGACAGCGGCGTGATGTCACAAGCTGGTGTAAATTGTAATTCACCTGTGTCCTCCTCCTCCTCCTCCTCCTCCTCCTCCTTGCTCCTCCCCGTCCTTCTCTTCCCCCCCCCCTCTGGGTTCCTCCCCGCCCTCATCCCTTATTCTTCCTTCGTCGTCCTCCTCCTCCTCCTCCCTTCCATTGGCCCCCTCCCGGCACTGAGAATGCCCGACTAGGCCACCGGCAAATTCGCCAGAGCTGATAGCACTACCTTCCATGCGAATCTCGTCTGTACAGTCCTCGTTCGCATACAGGCCGGCGTGCAAGATAACCCAGTAAGGCTTGATCCGACGGCATTTGACTGCCCTCTAGGCTTCATCCACGGTGTGTGTGTGTGTGATGGGATTAAGCGTCCGCGATGGCGCCATCGCTAGAAGAACACACACAGACGTATGTGTGTGTGTATGTTTGTTTGTGTGTGTGTGTGTGCTGTGTTGGGTGGGTGTGCGTCTGCATGTGATGAGGTGCTTGTGGGACTGGCAGGTGAAGAGGGAAAGAGGGATATAGATAGGTGGGAGAGGGATGGAAAAGAGGGAGGAGGAGAACGGCGAAGAGCGAGAGAGAGAGAGAGCGATAGAGAGAGAGAGGGGGAGAATGGAGACAGAGCAAGGATGTATTCGGTGATTCGGTAGGCTGTCGGAGTGGAGTGGCGGAGTGGCCATCAAACATGAGGACATATGGCTCGGGTTGAGGGCCGAAATGGTGCCAAGACGGGGAGGGGAAACCGATCTTCAAAGAGAAATGCGGCACATGATGCGAATCAGCATGCGGGCGTGGATCTGCCACCGTGCATCCGTGTCACGTTGAGGCGTGGTAGAATGCCAAGTGCTGTCTGGTAGGGTTTATGTAGTCTTCCGAGGACCCTCCCCTTCTCCCCCCCACTTCTAGCATCATCTATCTGCGTGCATCGCCCCCCCCCCCCGAGGCTTCCAACACAGGCCAGGCGTGCCACCAGTGTCGCAAGCATGGCCCAAGATGGCTCCATGACAGCTCAAGATGGTCTGAAGTCTGCCCAATAGGCTCCCAAGACGGTCCAGAGAAGCTCCCAGCAAGGCCCGAATAGGCCAACATACAAGATGTTCCGCACGTTTTGGTGGATTTGGGAATTGTCACCTTTTCGGGCACCGTCAGCCCCAAACGGCCCAAGAAGCCTCCAAGATGGCATCAAGACGGCCCACGAGGGCCTCAAGAAGGCCCCAAAACGGCCCCAGAGGGCTACGAGATCGACACAGAGCGGCCCAAGAGAACCCCAAGTCGGCCCAAGGGAACCCTCAGACGGCCCTCCGGTCCCCAAGTGTCCTCAAATAGGGGGCCACATGCGAACCCCACCCCTACCCACCACGATTTCTGAGGGGGAGGGTGGGGTTCACTTCGTTCGGGAGCTCCCGAGCGAAGTGAACCCCACCCTCCCCCTCAGAAATCGTGGGGGGTAGGGGTAGGGTTCGCATGTGGCCCCCTATCAAAACGATCCAAAGAGAACCCCCCCCCCCAACAAAAAAATCCGAGAGCGCCCAGACGGCTCAACAGCGCCTTCAGACGGCCCCAGGAGCCTCCGAGAGCCTCCGAGGCGCCCCTGAGACGCTGCCGAGAGGCCCCAAGAAGCCTCCGAGAGGCACCCCAACAGGCACCCCAACAAACCCCCATTGCCGTGGCCTTCGAGAGGCCCGAGGTGTCACAGTGACGGCCTCCCGTGCTCCCTCGAACAGCCGCCACCCAGAGTGCTGCGCTGGCACGGTGGCGGAACTTGCCGGAGATATGGCTGAATAAAACAACGGTGCTGCAGGAACTGGAGGTCAAAGCATATTATGTATCACATGGCGCAGCATAACGCTGGACGGGCCGAACCATGCGGCACAGGATCTAGAGCTGTCGGCAACTTCCGAAGCACAATGCTGCACGCCATCGGAGACGACACATGGTGCTGTGCGAGACGTCGTGCCGCGCAGCGCAGCCAGACACACCAAAAAACTTGCAGGCCACAGGTGAATCCTGCTGGATGCGGACGTTTTTTTGTTGTTTTTTTGTTTTTTGTTGTTCTTTTTGCTTTTGTTTTTTCTGATGGATGCCGACGCACGGAACTCGCGGAGCATGTGCGCGCGGGCCCAGATCCTCGACGTCGGCGCTGTTCGCAGCGGCGCGAGCGGGGAACACGACCGGGGCCCCAGACCTGGCATCGGCCCGCAGCATCCCCGCATCGAATCCGATCGGCCGAAGCTTCGGCCCGCGCCCATCCGAAATCCGACCTCTTGCGAAGCATGAAGTCCGAATTCCAAAATCCGAATCCGAAATCCGAAGCCACAATCCGAGATCCGAAGTCCGAATCCGAACCCATGCTGCTACCGGCATGGGGCATCTCGGACACCTGTCGTCCACACACAACCCTTCGTCAACACACAACATGGGGGGGGGGGGGGGGCGCACAGACCGTACACAGGGGGTCGCGCAAGCTTGCCGGATGCGCTCGGGAGCCATGGCCACGAGCCGGACCATCGTGCCCACCTCTGGCGCACGGGAGCTGTCAGCGTCGGGGTGGTAGGGATTGAGGGGGAACGACAGGAAGGGATCTCTCAGGAGGGGGGACATCGAGCTCGAATCGGCGACACAGCGCCGATAGACCAGCGACAGGTCCCCGACAACAAATCCGCCCTCTCCTAGGCGGGGTGGACTGTCGGCCCCCATCGGCCATGAAGGGCGATTCGGGGTCGATGCATCACCCCCCTGAGACTATCCCCGATCGATCCGCTAAGCCGTGAGAGGAGGGATCGGGAAGGAACATGCCCAACACGCTCTTGCCAGCCTCGCCGAGCATCATCGCAGGCTTGCCTGCCGAGACCTCATCGCAAGTACAATCACCAAACGCATCGCGCTACTCCCGGCCGCGTATATGCGACAACACATTCTGAGTTGACGCTTCGATCAAACAAAACCGACCGAATCTACTCATCACCATTTCTGAGCGATTCCTGTGACATGCTACCGTAGAGCGCTGCCATCAGCATATCTGTCGGCGCGCGACCGTCAAGTATGAACGAGATCGCGCAGGCCTGCTCAGGGTATGTGAACGGATGATCAGTCTGGCTGCGATGGGAGTGGAGTGTCCTTGCACCCCTCCAGCGTCGATCTTCCCAGCCTGAGCAGGAGGGTGGAAGAGGATGAGGAGGAGGAAGAGGACATCTAGTGCTCGAGTCCGGAGGGAGGGCGGATGAGGATGAGGATGAGGAGGCGGAGGAGAAGGAGGAGGAGGAGGAGGAAGAGGATGAGGAGGAGGAAGAGGAGGAGGAGGAGGAGGAAGACATCTGGTGCTCGAGCCGGGAACTCCCGCCAATGCATGCTCGGGGGAGCGGTACGAGCGAGCACGCTGCGCAGAGCTGCGCTGCCGTATTCTTGTGGGCGACGTGGCCCAAGGAACTCTCGACGCCCACAGCCGTCGTGTTACCGCAAGGAGCGCCGAAGCAGGAACGAGGCGGTGCCTCTTGCTACGGCGAGCCTCGGCCACGAACAAATGCGCTCGGGCCCAGATTTACGGACCGGCCCGACCACCGGAGGCCCTCCCAAGCCCAGAGCGGTCCCTCTTTCAGCGACGAGCGAACGACACACACACACACACCCGTACTCACAAAGGGGGACGGATGGGGCTATGGGTGCGCGTTGGCGTTGTCGGATTGGGCTCCCCGCCAGAACCGGAGCCTCCCTTTGGGTCCGGCAACCCACACCCACATCCATAGCCAGCCCTCCTTCTCCTCCTCATCCTCCTCCTCCTCCTTCTCCCATATCGGCGGTGGACAAACCTCCTTTTAGTAGACCTCCCCTTAGTGTAAAACTGCCTGGGACCGAAACCGACGGACCTGGACCCGCAAGAATGACGGCCGCGACGCCCTCTCGCGAACCGAAAACGGCCAATTCCTTAATCGAGAATAAAATTAAATTTCATAACTTATACCAAGTGCGTCCCCCCATCCCATTTCCACTAACCGGAACTGCCGTCACCCGAAAAACACCAATTACGGCAAACCTGGTTTAGTGAATCTGGCCAATTGAAGGGCCCCAGGGCCCTACCGCTAACCGGGTCCCCTTACCCGGGGTCCTGGCTATACCCGACTCGCCTGCTACAGTCACGCCATATAGTGATCGGCGGGCGGCGAGCGGGGGCAGAAGTGAGAAGGAGAAGGCCCTTTCGGAAGGCGGCGGGACTTCTCAAACGCCCTCGCGCCCGTCTTCGAGGACGGCTCGGAAAACTTCTCAGAAGGCCGGAGGGCTTCTGAGCCTTCTGAGGACGCCTTCTCTTTCTCACTCCCCCTGGACTCGCCGCTGAAGTAAGGATGCGCGATAAGGGCGCAGGGACCTTGGAAAGCCATGTACCTGGGGCACACTGATGGGCTGACCAGCGAAAGCTGTCAGGACTGGGCCGCAGGGGCAAGGATGCAAGGGTAGCCTTGGACAGTTGATCACACTTACTATACACATTGACTGTAGGATTCCGAGGCGAATCCAACTACGGCGACGGGGGCGACCAACGAGGTCCAAGGAGGGCAGGAGACGCTGAGATGCCTCCCTCCTCCCTCCCCAGATCTGGAGCGCGCCAGGGGCGGCGCTGGAGGCGCCGCCCGGGGGTCCCAGCGCGGATCCAATGAATCCGCGCGGAGCGCCAAAAGTTGTTGTTTTGTTTATGCGTTTGTTCTTCTTCTTCTTCTTCTTCGATCCTCCCCCCCAGATCCTCTGACGTCACGACTCTCAGCGACGTGGGCCCCATGTAGTCCCTGTAGCTCTTGGCCCCTTCCCTGGGACTGGTCTCATTTCCCGGTCAAGCGTGGGGGCCCATCAGCGGGCCCGCAGAGGCCCGAGCGGAAGAACCACAGGCCCCTTTGATGTCTCCGTGACGAAGGATGCCTGGGCCCCCTTCTTAAGAATCGGTTTCTGGATCCATACATGGGCGCGTTCTCACCCGAATCTCGAGGCGGATCTAGAAACCACCCCTACAGGCCAGGGACACGCAACAACCTCAGCCCTCGAACCCCCCACGCCCTCGAAGCTCCCACCCCTCGAGGAGCCGGAATTCAGCGGCGCCCGCCACCGGCATGCACTGCGGGGAGTACCAAGCGCCGTGAACGCAGCGCACCATCTCGCCGCCCGGGGTGCCGAAGCCGTCGAGGCAGCGGAAGCCGCACTCCTGCGACATCGCGTCCACGCGGGTGCAGGCGCCGACCTCCCAGGGTGCCCC